AGAAGACCAACACTGAGGAGAACAGGTAGACAATCACTGAACCGCCGCCGAAGATCAGACACAGAGAGATGATCGGATGCGAGCGCTTAAAGTCCATGAATTGCGGCGAATTGTTGTTGGCGTAGATGAAGATCGCGATCGCCACCAACAGTGCCAACAGTCCTAACAGTATTTGCGTCGGGTTTATGATACTGTGATACACACAGACCACAACACCAACACAACAGCCATTCATAGGGAGAGAGAAAAACATTAAATCAATAATTAATTTCCACTTTTTAATGAGAATGTGTTTTCTGTTGTATTCATTGAATTATGTGTTAATAAATTGATTTTTTGTCCTAATTTTTTCCAAACAGTGTTTTTGTCATTTATTTGTATGTAATGTAAGATTTTATCGTTAAATGATTATTGATTTAAATGTAGACCCGTTTGAACCTCAACTACCAGTGCATTATTTTTACGCCAATAATAGCTATAATTTCATTAATAATTCATTAATAATATTTATAACACGATATATAAATAGTATATGTATTTAAAAACTAGTGTAAAATATGCATTACATGTAATATTTTGCATCTAAGAAGACCAACACTGAGGAGAACAGGTAGACAATCACTGAACCGCCGCCGAAGATCAGACACAGAGAGATGATCGGATGCGAGCGCTTAAAGTCCATGAATTGCGGCGAATTGTTGTTGGCGTAGATAAAGATCGCGATCGCCACCAACAGTGCCAACAGTCCTAACAGTATTTGCGTCGGGTTTATGATACTGTGGGCGACACACAGACCACAACACCAGCACAACATCCATTCATAGGGAGAGTAAAACATTAAATCAATAATTAATTTCCACTTTTTAATGAGAATGTGTTTTCTGTTGTATTCATTGAATTATGTGTTAATAAATTGATTTTTTGTCCTAATTTTTTCCAAATGCTTCTAAACAGTGTTTTTGTCATTTATTTGTATGTAATGTAAGATTTTATCGTTAAATGGTTATTGATTTAAATGTAGACCCGTTTGAACCTCAACTACCAGTGCATTATTTTTTACGCCAATAATAGCTATAATTTCATTAATAATTCATTAATAATATTTATAACACGATATATAAATAGTATATGTATTTAAAAACTAGTGTAAAATATGCATTACATGTAATATTTTGCATCTGTGTGTTCATGAAAAGTCAAAAGCTATTTAAATGACAAGTGTTTGACATTTTGTTTGTTGCAAACCTTTTTCGCCAAAAATAATTCACTCGTCTTTCGTTTCGTATGAAAAATAGCTTTTAATACTAAAAGTAAAGTAAATTTAAATTTATAAATGCATCAAAAATTGAGGCCAAAACTAAAGGAGTAGAGAAATGATAAGTGATTATAGCGTAAAGTGAAAGTCACTAAACAAAGTGCACATCAAAAAAGTCTACCACTAAATAGTATTGACCCGATTTTCAGGCACTTTTGCTTATCGATAGCGCAAAGGGATTGCAAACAATCACTTCATTAATGCATTTCAAACAACAAAAACACAAATCGGAAACCATTTTATCACACGATCTGTAAAAACACAGCAAATATTGGGTACAAACAGAGGGTCTGACCATAAAAATAACCGTTAAAACACACAAACAAAGCACTGGGCTATCAATTAACAGCTATAATACTGGACATCCCTTTCCCTCCCGTCCTATCGATTCCGGGAAAAAATCAATTAAAAACACAAATTCAATGAATAATACAAAACACTGTGTCTGTCAAGAGTGGGACAGTCTGTAAAACAAATACCCGATTAGTGTGAAGATAATGATTGCGGTCAAGAAGTAATTGGTCTGATAGTAGTGCAGATTATTGATCACTCGATGGTTCCACTTCTCTAAGTCCTTAATCTGCGGCAATTGGAAGCGACTCGAGCTCAGGAGGTAGTCGTCCAGAGACCTGATGGGCGCCAAAGTCATGTCTGTGGCCATTGTCTCGTCGCGGAGATGACCGTCGATGACGGCGGTTGCGGCCGAAGTGTACGTCTGGTGATTGTTGTTGTGGTTGTGATGTCTGCCGATGGTCTGCGTCCAGGACTTGGCGTTGGGTTTGTGGTCACGACTGAGACGTCTGTTCAATGAGTTGACGCGCCGGACGTCCGACGGATTGGCGTTTGACTCAAACCTATTGGCGATTAAGTGTTGATAACTATTATTATTGTTATGAAAAGCACTGCTTTTGCTGTAGTTATCGATAGTCTTGTCGACCAATTCATTCAATTTGTGGCCAAATTTTTTGATTACATTTTTCATAATAACTGCACAAATGTATTGCAAAACTGTATTGCGTTTTATATAACAGTATTAATAATACAGAGCTTTGTATTCAAAACAAATGCACTGTTTTTT